TTTTTTTTTGTTCTTTTTGCTTCTTCTATTTATGTCATTTGGTCTGTTAAAAGGTAGTGAGTGGTGGGGGAATGGGGTCGCTTTTTAAGCTGCGTGACTACTGGTACAACAGATACAACAGGGAGGAGTTCAGCCACGCCGCGGCACTGACGGTAGGTAACATTGATAATGATCCGGATGAGGAAAACAAAATCATTTTTGGTTCCTTCTCAGGGATGCTGCGTGTGCTGAAGCCGACAAAGAAGGGCGCTGCGCAGCCGGAGGATACACTTGTGGAAAAGTCTTTTGGGGAGCCGATCCTACAGGTGGCGTGCCGCCCACTGGAGCCGGTTAGCGGTGGCGCTCCGTTGAATCTTCTGGCGGTCCTTCTTCCGAAGCGAATGCTGCTTGCTCGCGTGCTACGCGAGGGAAGTGTGATAGAGAAGACCACTGGTATGGAGAACTCTCTCAATACCTCGTATCGTATCGTGGTGTATCACGAGGCGCGTCTGGAAAGTAGTGCGTACAACTTTACGTGTGGTACTTTTGGCCACGCCTCGCATGAGATGGTATGCGTGCAGTCAATGGATGGCCTGCTCACGATTGTCAACCACAACGCCGTGGTGCTACAGTGCTGCATACCAAGTTCACAGTTTTTATTACCAGGATGTCTGACGTACTGTCCGCAGCGAGACTACTTCCTTACCAACAACTCCGCCATGAATCTCATGTGCTATTCCTTTGCAACCCTTACAAGCAACCGTATACGAGCAGAAGCCCCAATCGACAGTGACGGAAACATGATAGAGCGGCACCATGGCGACGTCATGGCGCCGACTTGGATGTTTGTCTTGGGTGATGACGTGGTTGGCATTGAGGTATGCCGCCAAACACGTGGGCTAGAAGCAGAGGATGCCGATATCGTGGTGTTGTGTCACTACACACTGTTCGTTCTGCAGATGAACGGGGCCCTGCGCTATTCAAGGCGCCTTGATGTGGAAAGTTTGTGCCTCACATCATTCTATGTCCCTGATGCAGGTGCGCATAACCTTCTCGTGGGCACAGTGAAGGGGTCAGTGAACGTGTACTCAGACATGGCACTCGAGTGGAGCGCAAAGATGACGACAGCAGCCCCACTCTGGCTCGAGGTGGCAGGTCTTTGTGGGACAAAAGGAATGATCGTCTCGCTCAGCACTGACGGGACGGTGGCTGTCAACTATCTTGGCACCGACCCCGAGGAGGAACCCATCCAGCCGCTGGAAAGCAAGGAAGCGGACTATGCTGAAATGGAACAAGAGCTGCGGCGCGTGCAGCACACAATTAAGCAAGTGAGCAACACAAACGCATCTGTCCAGCGCAAGCCGACAACTGAGGAATTGGTGCGTGTTTCCTGGGAAACTGCGCCAAGCGGTGGAGAGGGGCGTTGGGACACGACGCTCGCAATTTTGTCACTTCGCAACGACACTGGAAAAGCCATTGTGTGTGACGTGACGGTTCTGGTGCAGGTGGTGGAGCCGGTGCAGGTTGATGCGCAGCAGAGAGTTTTGAGCGGTGGCATGCCAGTGCGTGAGGTAGTGCAGTTCCCCTTTAAGTTCGACGTTGCAAGCCATCAGGACATGATTATACCCTCATCCCTGAATGCCCACGCTGTTGTCATGTACACAGGTGCAAGCGGTGTGGAATACACGGTAAGTGCTACGATGCGGCTCCCTCTAACGCTTGTGGCGCGGCCCATTCCGCCGGTGAAGTGTCCGGACTTCGTCATGCAGCTCAACACCGAGAAGGACGTGCCACCCTCTTTACTAGATTTGTTTCCCGAAATGGCAAGCTCTAGTGACATCACAGCAAACATCATGTCGGTTCAATACGTGAATGGTGCTGACGCTACGCTTCTGGTTTCTAAAAACGCAAGCCGATTTCGACTGCAGGCGTCAACGATGGAAGCACTTTGGCTCCTAGCAGACGAACTTCAGCAGCGATTGTACACCTACTACGGCTCGGATGTGCAACTCAGTATCCCGGATTCGCTTCCCTTAGAGAATTATTACCGGGTCATTGACACACACCTCGCTGTGCGGAAGGAGTTGTTGGAGGCACAGGAGGCATTATCGCAGGCGGCGCAAATGTTCCGTGCGGTACAAAAACGATTGTTGGTAGCCTTCCGCGAGCACAATCCAGCACCGGTTGGTATGATGGATGTGTTGTTTGATGAGAGCTTCAACAATCTGCAGAAATGCGCAGATGCCGTCGGCCACGCCATGCCACGACAGAAGCAAGCTGCTGCTATGTTGTGCTGTTGTTCGAGACTGATCGTGCTTCAGCTGTTTATTAAAAGCCGAGAGACGCTGAAGAACCCCGATGATATTCGTCTTATTGAATCCATCTTCACTTGCCCGATTGCGGCTGACACCGAGGTTAGTTGGGAGGAGGTCACAGACGCGGCGTTGGGTCACCTTCTGGCGTCAGTGGACAGAACTTCGGCCTTTACCTCATCACCTGCGCCTGAAAGCAAGAATTCGGCTTCGATGAGTCTCAACGGTGGGCGTTTGAAGAAACGCATCGGTTCCTTCTTTGATCGTATTCTAGGCGGCTCGCAGGTAACATTCTCGTAGGGACGACAGTGGCTTCAACGATTTCACTTCACCGTGTCATTTTTAATACTTGCTCCTCGCGCTGAGTGATTTTTGTTCCTCCGTTACAAGGCATTACATGCGCTTTATCCGTTTTTTTTTTTTCGTTTGCTTTCATGTCTTCACCTTTTCGTTGGTGTTGTTGTTGTTGTGTGTAGTTCCTTTTTTGGTGTGCTGCTACCTTCGGGCAGCAATGGCTAGTGGCCCACCGCCCGGTCCGCCAGGATCGGTGGTTGCTGCTACGAATAAGAAAAGGAAGGGGAACGGCTCAGGGAGGGTTGTGCCCAGTCATCATGGTGGCGCCGCGCTGACGGGCTTTCGGCAAGCGCCTGTTGAGAGCCTCAACTTGGAGGAGGTGTACGGATCGCTCATATCGTCGCCCGCAACGGGTCGGAGGAGGTCGCCTTTCGCAACGACTTTCTCTTATCCACCGCACGTGCAGGGTGTTTTGAATAATAGGAACTCTTGTTTTATAAATGCCGTCCTGCAGGCACTGGTATTTACGCCGCCCTTCGCGCAGCTAGCCGTTTCGGCAGCGGCAGAAATAGAATTGTGTCCAACACTTGCTACTTTGGGCAGATGGCTGCTGTCGTACTGGGCGAGGCTTCCCACACAGTCGATTGCGCCGCCACGCCTTCCCCTCGCGTTACACGGGCAAGCGACGTCGTTTTCTTCGCCCGTGCGTCAGGGCAATATGGATGGGTCAGTCCAGGAAGATGCTGCAGAGTTCATGCAGCACATGCTTGAGATTATACAGGCGGAACTGTGTGCATTGGAACGGCGCTTTAGACAAAACGCTAAGTTCGGAGACACCGCAGATGACTCGCATGGAAATAAGACACAAACAAAAGGGTGGACCTTTGTGAATGGGAGAGAGCGGCTCTCTGTGCGGGAGCAGAGCGACGAGAGGCACTCCATTCTCTTCAGTGCCATATTTGGCGGTTCAGTGGAGAGCCACCTGAAGGGTAAAAGCAAAACGAAGGATCATGTATCAGTTGTTGTCGAGGGTTTTTTCATGCTGCAGGTAGATGTCTGCTTCGGTGCGGAGTGTAGCCTCGAAGTGGCTCTTGAGAGGACGCTTCAGATGGAGCGGGTACACGACGACGCTCGTGAAAAGGATCTTCTTAAAACGCTTAAGCTGCGGCGCCTACCGATTGTGCTTCTTCTTCAGGTGCGGCGGTGGGCTGTGACCGCGGAGGGAGAACTTGTTAAACTGGACAATATTGTGCACTTCTCCAAAACTCTGGTACTTCCCAAGTCCACGTGCGCTGACACCACAGTTAGCAACGCGGCAAGGACGTATGAACTCGTGGCATTTGTTTCCCATCGTGGTAGGGCCACTGAGCGTGGGCACTATGTTGCTTATCTCACAGACGCGTCATCGTCTGGTAATGTTGCTCCGGCAGCGGTGGAAGCGGTGCGTGGAGGCGAGGTGCTTACGCTTTGCAATGACGCGCGGGTGACGACGGCCACCATGCAGGAGGCTGTTGAAGGGGAAGCGGTGTATGTTCTGGTGTACCAGCACAAGGCATAAGCGGGTCCGTCGGGTAAGATTGTAGGGGTCCTTTTTTCCTCCTTACCCTGAGCTGATGCAACTCACTTTGCTTCGTGTTTTTTTTTGTGTTTTTCACCGCTCGTTTGTCTACTGTTTCTTGCGTTATTCCTTTCCCCCTTGTTTTGCGTCGTGGTGAAATATTTTTGTGGAGCATGTTGTCTCATTACCACGTGTTCGTCTTTGCTTCTGTGTTCTTTGTGAGTGCACGTAGTCATATCGTCAGTCTTATCGACTTGAAATGGTCAACGTTCCTGTCTTCGTTCCTCTTTTTGCTCCACTCCACGACAAATCTGAGCGTAAAATCACTGAGGTTCTCGTCAGGGTTAAAGGTGAGTTCGACCCACTCCCTCCTTTGTTTCTCCGTGCGCAAAGCAGTGGAACTTGCGACTTGCCAACTAAGCAAAATGAGGAACGCCTCATAGCCTACGCATTCCTTCTGTCGAATCGGTGGGACGTTGAAAAGACCATGAAGGCTATTCGTGATATGTTGAAGTTCCGCGAGCGGTACCAGATTGATTCACTGCTTGTGCACCCGAGTCCGTTCTGTGTTCGTGGGTTTGACGAAGAAGATTTATGCGCTCGGTTGAACATCAAGATGCGCCCTACCGTTACGGAACGTGAAAAGATTGTTGCCACTCTCTGCACCAGTCTTCATTTTGGCATTCATTTCTGGGACAAGCACGGCATTCCAGTCGCGTACTGGCTTGTTGGTAAGGCGGAGGTGCATGACACGTTGCGCAAGCTAAAGCAGCAGACTCCAGTGGGGAAGACGGCAGCAGATCTTGGCAAAGGGTGCGCGGCCTACGCGCTGGAGGTAGGGTGGAATATCTGCCGCTACCAGAGCATGCGTCTACAGGAGCGGGCGGTGCCGGGCATTGCGCCGGCCGAGGGCAGGCTGCAGGCCGTGACGGTGGTTTTGGACGCCTCTGGTTTGGGGTACAAGGATTTGTCAAGGCCCGCTTTGGAGTTGTTACATGAAGTGCTTTGGGAGCTCCAGGCACACTACGCCGACGCAGTAAATCGTCTACTGGTTGTCAATTGCCCCCGCATGATTATGTTCGCGTACAACATCCTGAAGCGGTCACTCCACGAGGGATTTCAAAAGAAGATCACATTTGTAAGTCCAGCCGACACGCCGGAGGCCCTTGATATCGTCATTGGTAAGGAGCGCGTGCCGTCTTTTTTGGGCGGTCACTGCAGCTGTCCCAATGGCTGCATTGCCTCCTACGACCCCAATGCTGCGTTCACTGCGGAGGAAGAGGATGAAGGTGACGTTGTCACGGAGGACATCAATCTGAAGCCGGGGAAAACTCTGGAGAAGGCGTTCGAGTTGGAGAAGGGAGAAGAGGTCGTGTGGGAATTTGTCTCCACCTCCGGCGCCGATGTACGATTTTTGGTGAATTTCTACCCCAAGACAGAGGGCATCTCCGTTCACCCAGAGAGGAAGCGCGTGGTCATCGACAAGAGTATCAAGAAAACGACGAAGGAGCACCCACTTGTGCATGAGTCAAAGCTGGCAGATGGTGCCGATCGTTTTTGCGCCCCGCAAGACGGTGTGCTGCAACTCGTCTGGGACAACAGCCGCTCTTGGGTGCAGAGGAGGCCGATACAAATGCGGGTGTACAAGAATTCCCCACTTGCCGACGGCTCGGAGGACTGATATTAGTATATGCCTGGTTTTCTTTTTTGCTTCTTCTTTAATCTGTGTGTGTGTGTGTGTGTCCTCTGAAATGGCTTCGTTTCACCTCCCCCATTCACACATTGAGTGTGTAAGTCTTCCGTCAACTCCTCACGTTC